AAATGTTCGTTTAGAGAGTATTAATTAAAATGGTTTTAGAAATCTGATTTCTTTTAATGGTGCCCCACATAAAATCGAGAAATACCTGACGTTAGTATCTCTCTATATTTCTGAGATGAGGTATTATGTACACTATTTACATTATTCGGACTATTGTCCTCATCTTTGTTGCCATATTTATTACAACGTTTCGGCCTTTCAGTATCTGTCTATATTTCTGAGATGAGATATTATGTACACTATTTACATTATTCAGACTATTGTCCTCATCTTTGTCGCCATATTTATTATAACGTTTCGGCCTTTCAGTGTCTGTCTATATTTCTGAGATGAGGTATTATGTACACTATTTACATTATTCAGACTATTGTCCTCATCTTTGTCGCCATATTTATTACAACGTTTCGGCCTTTCAGTATCTGTCTATATTTCTGAGATGAGATATTATGTACACTATTTACATTATTCAGACTATTGTCCTCATCTATGTCGCCATATTTATTACAACGTTTCGGCCCTTCAGTATCTGTCTATATTTCTGAGATGAGTATTATGTACACTATTTACATTATTCAGACTATCGTCCTCATCTTTGAGTGTGAGTTCAATACCCAGTTAAGGCGGTGGAGTATTTGGAGGGGGCAATTAACAGGAGATAACTGGCAACTGACATCCATTAAAACATGGCACGTGGAACTAGAACAGTCTACCCCAGGGAACGAAATATAGGGTTCAGTTCAACATTCCAACTACCTAAAGAAGGCCGGAGCGTACAACGGCCGAAACGTTGTAATAAATATGTTGAGAAACATGAGGACAATAGTCCGAAATAATGTAAATAGTGTACCTGAACGTTAGTAGGAGAGAGAGCTTTTAGAACACTGTGTGGCATAATCTGACTTCGACAAATTGTTTCCCATCTATCTATCTATCTATCTATCTATCTATCTATCTATCTATCTTATTTTCATATCTATCTATCTATCTGCCTGCCGGACTCTTTGTCTCTCTTTATCTTGCTGTCTCTGTCTCTCATTCTCTTTCTCCTAGCATATATTTGTTATTGACATGTATACTATGCATGTGTTAACTGATATGACAGTCTTCAAGGCCGATCTATGGTAAAAAAAAGAAACAGGAGCTTATCACTATCGTAACTCCAACCCACATTTACTACATCTGTTCCTAATGTTAAGTTATGGCTAATGAAACATATATATATATATATATATATATATATATATATATATAGCCGAGTTCGAATTCCAGTCGAATCCATTACATTCACTTACGTGCTAATACCCTTGGGAAAGGTATGAATCCTATTCCTCTCCCTCCAGCTATGAGTAAAATAGCAGGACAGACTAGGTTCTATAGCCTTGGATGGAAACTGGTCTAGGAGAAGGACAACTCTGAAATCAAAACCTGCGGAGGGTCGTTTAAGAACCTTGTGGCATTCGGTCCACCAGGTCTCTGTATTCGTCCCTTCAAAAAGTGTGGATGGTCCTGCACGAGGCCTTCACCACTATAATTAAATCTCATGTGCCGGTGTCGGGCTGTCGATTTCCTGGAAACTGATCTGCTTGACCCTCATACGTCGAATCTCGACGGGATAGTCGATTATACATACATACATACATACATACATACATACAAAAACATAAAATAAAGTGATAGGCAATTATTAGAAAAAGTTGAGCCAATTAAATACAAACCCAGTGAATATGTGCACAGTGACTTAAAAAAAGAAGGAGAAAGAGTACAACTAGATAATCAGCAGTATAAATCACAGTCAAAATAGGTCTGATTACAGAGGGAAGGCTGCTTAGACTTAATATACAAGGTCTCAAGTGGGGAATGGAAAATACCACCTGAGAATGAACAATATAAGTCGCAAACAGATTACATTTAAAATCAGCAACCATTCGTTCGGAGGGAACGCTGCTTTCTCTGGCCATTATTTCAGTATAATTAGCAAAGTTCATTTAGATTACCTTTGTACAATTCTTGGAACTGTTTATATAAAGTCTGATCAGTCTTGCCCTGTATGCAAAAGGAATGGCTTCTGGGTCTAAATATAATCTTTCTGTGATCTTTACTTTTGATTCCCTAGAAGTAAATTATTTTCACCCCTTTTTTAGTCGTCGAACATATATTGGATAGTGGAGTGGTTTCTGCTTGCTTTCATTACAGATACCTTTTCTTTATTATCTGTGAATTTCTATGAGATCTTAGAAAAGAGAGTAGAGTAGGTTCCCATGGCCTTCATTACAGATAGCTTTTCTTTATTATATGAAAATTACCACGACTTCTTGGGAAATATAGTGGTTTCTCATTGCTTTCATTAGAGATGCCTTCATTATATGTCAATTGTCATGACTTCTTGGGAAAGATAGTGAAGTGGTTTCCTATCGCCTTCTCTACAGATTCCCTTTTCTTTATTATCTGTGAATTGCCATGACTTCTTGGGAAAGATAGTGAAGTGGTTTCTCATTGCCTTCTCTACAGATTCCTTTTCTTTATTATCTGTAAATTGTCATGGCTTCTTGAGATAGATGATGGAATGGTTTTCCGTTGGCTTCTTTAGAGATTCCGTTTTATTATCTGTGGATTGTCAAGACTTCTTGGGAAAGATATTGGGGTTGTTTCTCGTTGCCTTCTCTGCAAATTCTTTTTCTTTATTATCTGTGAATTTCCACTACTTCTTGGGAAAGATGGTGAAGTGGTTTCCCATTGCTTTCTTTACACGTACCTTTTCTTTATTATCTTTGAATTGCTATGATTTCTTCAGAAAATTTGTGGAGTGCTTTCCCATCGCCTTCTCCTAGAATGGTTTTCACTCTAGTCTAGAGAACGAAATCTATCTTGCTATTCATTCCATCGAAATGGTAGGGAAGATACAGGTTCATATTTTTTCCAGTGATATTTGTGCGAAAGTGTACGCAAATGACTAGCGCGAAATTTGAATCCGGATCACTGATTTCATTCTCCGCATCGATATCCGTTACATCTTTCATAATAATTATTTGATAACGAAAGGAACAAAAAATGTATTTTCGACCAGGGCGTGCTGAACAATCCTCATCTTGCGCCATTTCCAAGACCATCAGAATTCCTTTTTTAAGTCTCTGCTGTGGCGGGATATTTCAGCACCTACCCATGATTACCACCCGCGCTACAAGTCAGTATTTGCCTAAATCATGCTACTGAATACTGATTTTCAAGATATACAAACAGACCCTCCTCACTTTTCTCTTCATTACATCCATTAGCCTTGTGCCAGACAATGTAATCATCATAAATGTCTATAACTGTATGGGGGATAAAGTCATTACCTTATTCCCAGCGGCACCAAATCGCACAGTCAGATTAATTGTAAAGGCAAGCAAGTAAAAGGCCGTATTAGTTGTCTACAGTTTGTGGTAATAAGCGACTTTTACTTTTCTTTCAGTTAAGCGGAAGGAAAGAATGAACAAGATTCTAAATAACTCATGGGATAAGTACAAACTGGTTTATATCTTGGGATTGTTACAAACACGAGAAAAAAAAACACAAAAAAACAACCCTCAAATAAGTTCAATTAGATGAGTAAATTTAAGTCTTCTTTGACTGAAGAGCTACATGATTAACGGAGACGCCTTGGGATAGGAGCATTTCATCAGTACAAAGACTTTTCACGGCAGAGAGAAACTTCGCACTTACGAACAAAACAGAATCGCAGGGAACACAAATCAAATAAATAGATATCTTATACTAATTTTCATCCAGTACGAGGCCCGAGAGCCACTCAACTTAAAAGGGTTGCTGTTAAACCGTTTGTAATAAACGAGAGGTGTTATTTTAATCGTTAATGGCTTGCCAGTCGTATCCAAGAATACCCGCCAACTAGGACAGCTCTCTAATCCCTATTGCAGACGCTTGCTCATGCGCATTTGTGTTTGTTCAGCGCCCACAGAGCCTACGTGTGTTTTATACCGAGCAGACCTTAGTTTTAATTTCTGGGCGAGAAGCGTGTTATCTGGCGTGATTAAAAATCTTAGCAAAGCCAGCACGCACAAACCCTCGCTCACGATGACTTGTAACTTCGTGCTAGCACAGCCATCGACGGCCAACAATGCGTTTTGTTTACCTTATTTCACTGACAAGGTTTGGGTCAACCCGTGGTGTGGTTCTCGGGCATTTTCCAAACGTGCCGCACGCCGGGATCGCCTGATAATATCAAGAATTCACCTTCGTGTCAAATCGACCATGGTGAGATTCGAACCTGGGTCTCAGCGAAAGCGAATGGCCACGTGTCTATAAACGAATTGTGCAATAAAATGAAAGCGGAACCGGTAAGCAGTTAATATCACAAGGGTAAAAAATCAAAATAAAGATAGACTTGACGATTAAATTGTCCAGGGAATGACTCATGCGTGAATTTGTTCTTGGGTGAAACTTTATAGTTATAAAAAAAAAATAAGGGCTATTAAACCCCGTGGAAGTGGCAATGAAAGGTCCTAGTCGTAAAGATCTGAACTGGTGGCAACTGAAAAGTGGAGCTCATGTGAACACTTGCTATAGAAACTGCAATAGGCTTATGATGTGTGGAAAGAGGTTGTAGAGTGGTAAAAATATTTTCCTCTGTCTATATCGCTGAGATGAGGTATTATGATTATTTTCATTATTTACATTATTCGGACTGTTATCCTCATCTTCATTGCCATATTCACAACGTTTCGGCCGTTGTACCCTCCGGCGTCTTCTCTTTAATTTTCTCTTTTAAACTCTTTATCTTTCTTACTCTCCCGTTTATTGTTTCTTTTTTCTTTCTTTCTTTCTTTCTTTCTTTCTTTCTTTCTTTCTTTTTAAGTTTCTCTTTTAAACTCTTTATCTTTCTTACTCTCCCCTTTATTCTTTTTTTTTCTTTCTTTCTTTCTTTCTTTCTTTCTTTCTTTCTTTCTTTCTTTCTTTCTTTTTAAGTTTCTTTGAAACCCGTTATCTTTCTTACTCTCCCTTACATGCTTTCTTTCTTTCTTTCTTTCTTTCTTTCTTTCTTTTTAATTTTCTCTTTTAAACTCTTTATCTTTCTTACTCTCCCGTTTATTCTTTCTTTCTTTATTTCTTTCTTTCTTTTTAATTTTCTCTTTTAAACTCTTTATCTTTCTTACTCTTCCGTTTATTCTTTCTTTCTCTTTTTCAGTTTCTCTTCTAATCTCATTCTGTTTCTTCAACTCTCTTTCACTCTTTTTAAATACCTCTTTTAATAACTATCTTTAGTTCCTTCTTTCTTTTTCCCTCCCTTTCTTTTTTTTTCTATTTCAAACTATCTTTCTCCTCTTTCTTTTTTATTCTGTCTCTATTTATTTTTCACTCTTTCTTTGTTGTTGACGAGCCAATCAATCTTTCTCTTTCACTCTCTTTCTCCTTTATTCTCTCTCTCTCTCTGCTTCTCTGCTTCTCTCTCACTCTCTCTGTCTCAATGTCTTTGAACCATTCTCTTTCTTTCTATGCCTCTCTCTTTCAAAATCTCTCTATGTTTCCATCAGTATGTCTTTTAGTCAATCAATTTCTCCCCGTTCTCATCACTCTTTCAATTTCTCTTTTAATCTCGTTCTCTTTCAATATTCCCCTCTTTCCTGTTACCTTTAACCGCTCGTTCACTCCCCTTCTTTGTCTCTTCTTCCATCTCTTTATCTCTATCTCTCTCTCTCTCTCTCTCTCTCTCTCTCTCTCTCTCTCTCTCTCTATCTCTCTCTGTCACACTTTCAATCTCTTCTTTTCTTTCTCTCTTAATTTTTCTCTGATTATTCAACCTCTCTATCTTTATCTCTCTTTTAATTTCCCATCCGAAACCTACAACTGAAAACATTACAAAACGACCCGCTTTATCTTTCAATATACCCGAATAAACATTTAAGTAGATAAAACAGCTCTGTCACTGCGAAAGGAAAATTATATATCTGCTTTCACGGTGGCTTGTCGGGCCTTTACCCTCCAGTAGACGTCGAGTAATCCTATCAGCAGTTATAAAACTATTACCCTCTTTTGTGAAGAAAAGAAAATGAAATATAGACAGATACTGAAAATGAAAAGTCAATAGAATTTAAAAATAACAACATGTCTAGGAAGGATATTAGAATAACCCAGAAACAATTCTAACAGCAAACAACCTGCATACGGATATAAAATGAGTTCAATAGAGATACAAAAATAGAAAGGAGTGTAAGACAAGGATGTGTCTTCTCGCCAGACTTATTCAACATATCCAGTAAGGCGATTCTGAAAGAATTACAAGTCTTACTACGATTAATTATCGGGGGCATCAATCTTAGCCACATAAGTTATGCCGATGACATAGTGTCGGTAGCAGACGCACAAAGTAAACTACAAGAGTTCCTACAGAAGGTAGTGAAGGAAAGCGAGAAGAAAGGACTAAATATCAATTACAAGTAGACAGAGTGCATGGTTGTTAGCAAAAGGGTGAGCCCAAAATGCAAATTATAAATTGGGGATACCAAAATCAAGCAAGTGCAACAATTTAAATATCTGGGGTGTGTTTTAACAGAGGACGAAAAATGCGACACTGAAATCCAAAGGCGCATTGGGTGGTAGCACCTGCTAGGGTCCCAGCTATGGGTAAATAGGGAACCCCCAAATAAAACTCAACAGGTCAACTTTATAATAAAATGACTAGCACTCTGGAAGTATAAAATTATGTAAAGAATATTTAGATTTCGGCATTAAATAACCCATAGAGGTATTGATATGTCGCGAAACAAAATCAAACAACGGACATGGAAGAACTCTTTAATGACATTAATCCATATAATATCCCACAATTTCTTAAAGAAATCAAACTGTATACCAAAATATAACTTCAACTACAACATAAAACACATATCACCGCCCCTAGTAATCATGTCCATGCAAATATGTATATGCACAAAAGCTGAGTATTATCTACCATGGCATTAAATGACCCATAGAGGTATTGTTCTACCATTAAACAAACAAATCATAATCTTTGTTATCAGTATCACAACGCTATTACTTCCGACCTGGGATAATTCCCACGTTACGGTAAAACAACGGTTTCCGTTTGAGCACCGAGGTTAAGCAACGTGACGTATGGTCTGTACCTAGATGGGTGACCGCTTGGGAATATCAGCTGCTGTAAGCTTGGATGTGCGGGTGGTGTAATAGATAAGAACTCGGAATTGTCGATCTCAGAGACAAGTCACAATTCGTTATATTCACTTACGCGCAAACACCCTTCTGCAAATTAATTGATGTAATCTCCTAAAATAAACTATATATATATATATATATGTGTGTGTATATATGTACACCTTTGTGCAAATTAATTGAAATAAAACGAATAATTCCGTTATTATTTAGCTTTTTTTATATTTTTCCAATGAAACATGACGCAGTGCACATGTTACTATATCGTATGTCCATTCCACGAAGTCGTCCCTTGCAGATTGCCCACAGATCTTCCATTAGATTTAAATCAGGAGTTTCCAGACCAGTCTTTGATTTGATCACTGGTAAGGCTTGCCATTGTGTACGTGCAGCTTTACAATTTTCGAACGCTCCTTGGAGTAATGTCCATCGCAGACAATGGCCGTAGGACAACTAATCGACAGTCGTGACATTAGTGTCTGGGCGTGATGAAAATCTGATGCAATCTTGGATGACGCAGTATTTTTCAAGTCCAAACAAATTTCATCACACACCCCGAAAACAGATTCATATTTCTACACACCACTGCAAATGACCTAATTTGAGGAGAGAAAAAAAAATCGATGACATCCTGTCACTCTAGTGGATATAAAACCGGCCGTATAGTGAAAGAAAGGAAAATAAATCAGTTTATTCAATTAATATGCACACGGATGTATTCAATTGTGGATGCAGAATGACATATATTCTATTTTTATTACATCAAAGTTCCCAAAAAAATTAAATTTCGGCATTAAATGACCCATAACGTGTTGATATGCCGAAATCAAAAGAAATCAAAAACTTCCGAGAAAATTAAAATTCGACATTAAATGACAAACATTACATTTTATCTGCAGTTGAAGCCATAAAATTGTGTTCAAAATATTTAGATTTCTGCATTAAATGATAAAAAGTTAATATGACGCTAAAAAAATCAAACTAACATGAAAGAACTCTTGCATGACATTAATCCATATAATATCTTATCATTTCACAAAGAATTTCAAAATATAAGACATATGACCGCTTCCAGTAATTACGTTCTTACAAACATGTATAAAAACGAAAGCTGAGTATCATCTACCATGTATTCAACTGTGAAAGCAGAATAATATATCATATTTCTATTACTTCAAAGCTCCCAAGAAAATTACATTTTGTCATTAAATGAGCCATAAAGAGTTGATGTGCCATTAGACAAACAAATCAATCAATCCTACTCTATCATAGGAACCTCACTATCTGTGTTTGAACAAGATGGTCAGATGAAAAAAACTGTCCCTTTTTAGCTAAAAATATTTAAATATTTTCCCAGCTGACTAAACAATGTCAACACTTTTACTCCTAGGAAACTAGATTTTGCAAGCATATGTCAACTAACTAGTATTAACACTTTATTTTTATCTTCAGACCCAATTAGATTATCCATAATCTTGGTAATCATCGGGTTACCACACCAGATACTACATAGTATTTCTCAAGAAAATGGAGCTTACTGAGAAGTACCGATCTCTTCTTCTTTACCTTACCATTTTCAGTTTTCTCAACCAATAGGCCGACTCAATTGTTTAATCTCTTGCCAATGTTTAACATAAGAATTTTGAATTTTGTCTTCAACAGATTTTCCTTCCAGCAGTTGAAGCCATAAAATTGTGCTCAAAATATTTAGATTTTGGCATTAAATGATCCATAAAGAGTTGATGTGCCCCTAAACAAAATCAAATAACTAACATGAAAGAAACCTTTCATGACATTAATCCATATAATATCCTACAATGTCCCAAAGAAATCAAACTGTATTTCAAAATATAACTTCAACATAAAACACATATATCACCGCCTCTAGTAATTACGTTCTTGCAAACATGATTATAAATGAAAGCTGAGAATTATCTACCATATATTCAATTGTGAAAGCAGAATAACATAAATCCTATTTTTTGATCCCAAGAAAATTAAATTTCGACATTAAAGGACCCATAAAGAATTGATATGCCGTTAAACCAATCAATCAATATTTCTCGGTATTAGTTCACCTTGGCACAAGGTCTATTTAATGAGTCAACCAGTGAGGCCTAATGGTAAGGACAATGGTAATATTTACTTTACCTCATTACGGTTTGAAAGAAACAAAATCTTCTTATTGTCATTAGTTTTGTCTATTATGTGCAATCTTCTGTTGTTGTTTAAAGGGGCCAAGTTTGCCATTCGGAGATTTACGAAGTCTTAATACAAGACGCTTGATGCTTGAGGAGTAGAGGGCAACTCATGTTGATGGATTGAAGAAATATGTCACTTCTTGAAAAGATAAAAGAAAACTCTTGTCCTTAAATAATAATCCCTCGTTATCGAAAAAAAAGCAGTGACATATAAATGAGATCAAACAGAAAAATATGACGGAAAAATGAATTAAAAAAGTGTGAAAAATAAAAAGATGCCAGGAAAACGCTTTTGTAAAATCTGATTTTTTTTTTAAACTTGAAAGTAAGAAATAAATGAGTGAGAAGAAATAGAGAGCAGAAAGAAAGAAAGAAAAAAAGAAAGAAAGAAAGACAGAAAGAACGAGTAAGAAGAAAGAAAGAAAGAAAGAAAGAAAAAAAGAAAGGAGAGGGATAAGTAACTGATTAGAAAGAAAGAAAGAAAGAAGGAGAGGTGTAAGTAACTGATAAGAAAGAAAGAAACAGTGAGAAGAAAGAAAGAAACAGTGAGAAGAAAAAAAGAAAGCAAAAAGAAAAAAAGAGAGAAAAATTGAGAAGAAAGAAAGAAAGAAAGAAACAGTGAGAAGAAAGAAAGAAAGCATAAAAAAGAGAAAAGATTAAGAAAGAAAGAAAGAAAGAAAGAAAGAAAGAAAGAAAGAAAGAAAGAAAGAAAGAAAGAGTGAGAAGAAAGAAAGAAAACAAAAAGAAAAAAGAGAGAAAGATTGAAAAGAAAGAAAGAAAGAAAGTAAACGGAAGAAAGAAAGAAAGAAAGAAAGAGTGAGAAGAAAGAAAGAAAACAAAAAGAAAAAAGAGAGAAAGATTGAAAAGAAAGAAAGTAAACGGAAGAAAGAAAGAAAGAAAAAGAAAGAAAGAAAGAAAGAAAGAAAGAAAGAGTAAGAAGAATTAAATAAAAAGAGTAAAAAGAAAGAAAGAAACAAACAAACAAACAAACAAAAAGAAAAAGTGAGAAGAAGGAAAGAAAGATTAAGAAGAAAGAAAGGACGAATGAAAATGAATGAAACAGTGAGAAGAAAGAAAGAAAGAAAGAAAGAAAGAAAGAAAGAAAGAAAGAAAGAAAGAAAAGAAAATTTTTAAAAAAGTTGGTATAAAAGCAGGAATGTAGAAAAATAAATAAATAAAAGGAGAGATGGAGAAAACTGAATATAAAAACACGAGCCTAAATACCCAGAAATAATTTAAGAGATATGAAAATAGAAGAAGAAGGAAAAAAGTAGAAATCGATGAAAAAGAAAGAAAGCTAGACAATTGAGAAAGTGAAAGTAATGAAGAGAAGAAAGGCTATAAAGTGTGAGGGAGAAGAAGTCAATGAAAGAAAGAGTGAAAGCAAGAAAACAAGAAATACTAGCGAGATAAAAGGAGAAGAAATGAAATGTCATAGTTGTGCATATAAAATTTATAAAGTCCAAGGTAAATAACTCGTTTCATTTGTCCTACTTGAGAAATTCAAGATGTCTAATGACAAGCTTATTCTTTTCCTGGTTGACAATCGAAAAACAACGTCCGTTTCAGGTAGGTACCTCCACATTTTTGCTCAGAAAACAGTATAGCATAGAAAAGGACCGAAACTTAATAAAAACATTGTTTTATCATCAGAATGCTTATATTATTATTAAGAGGAAAGACCAACGGATTTTTTTATTATCATTTTACTAAATTTTTAATCCTTTCGAGCAACGTTCAAAATTTTTGTTAATTTTTTTTTTTTTTTTTTTTTTTTTTTACGTCAACGCTCCATGTAATATTTACGGTTAGTGTTTTATCGCCTTATTTCCGATGAAAAACACATTGATTCGTAAATTCTTGCAAAAATCAAATGTCGGATTTTTATGAAACTTTCATGACTTATTGATAAATAAATGAAATTAGTTTTGAATTTTTTTTTTTTTTTTTTTAGAAAATCTTGGTATTTTTTTTTTTTTACATACGTTACCCCCAACTTAAATTTTCATCACAAATTTTTTATTCGTCAAAAGCAGGACCCCTTCAAGAATGTAAATTCAGTTTTTTTTTGTTTGTTTGTTTGTTTTTTTTTTTTTGTTTTTTTGTTGTTTTTTTTTTTGTTTCGTTTTGTTTTTTAAGTGCTACTCAATTCAGAAAAATCTGCTCCGGATCTTAAAATAAAAATGCAATAAAACTAATATTATTTAATTAGAAAACTTGCTTTTATAAATAAGATATACTAAGGAGACTATCGTCTTAAGAAAAATCATTTTTTGATGAATAATAAATTTTTACAAGAATTGTTTTAATTTTTTAAATTTTAATTATAACAATTTATAATAATTATTTAAAAATCTTTTAAAATTCTACATTAGTTTAATCTCATTAGGTGATTAACTGAAAACTATATTTACTAATCAAAATCAAGCTTAATATAAATCATTTTGCACCAAGATTTTTAAAATAATTTATTTATATTTTTTTTTAATTTATATAGAATATTATGTAACGTGTAACGTGCCATTTTTTTAAAGTATGGTCGACCATACACTGCATTATCAGAAAATACGAGCGATGACTATAGTAAATTTAAATTCCTAAAATTAGATTACGGAGAATATTTTCCAACACTTAGAGGCGACAGTCTGTTTCATGCTAGACGCAATCGTCAGGCCACGAGTGCTTGTTATTTTTCTTGGCTATATACGTGTTGACTTCTATGTTCACTTTTATATTTACACGCTCTATCTCTGATATTGAGCACTTTATCCCATAAATATAGCACATCTTAA